CGGTATTACACATGTATGTATAGACCTGAAATCAGTCGAGGTTACCCGCTGAATTTAAGCATATTATTAAGCGGAGGAAAAGAAAATAACAATGATTCCCTCAGTAACGGCGAGTGAAGCGGGAAGAGCTCAAAGTGAAAATCGTGAGTCCCTTTGTTTGGCCTCACGAATTGTAGCCTCTAGAAGCGTGGCCAGTGGAGGGGCAGGTCCAAGTTTCTTGGAACAGAACATCAGAGAGGGTGACAGTCCCGTCCTTTGTCCTGCTTGTTAGGTCTCCACGTACGGTGCGCTTTTATTGAGTCGCGTTCATTGGGATTTGAGCGCAAAATGTGTGATAAGTTTCACATAAAGCTAAATATTGGCGTGAGACCGATAGTGAACAAGTACTGTGAAGGAAAGATGAAAAGGACTTTGGAAAGAGAGTTAAAAGTGTCTGAAATTGCTGAAAGGGAAGCGATTGAAACTTTAGCGTCTCTGGGGTGCCGATTGGGTACTTGTAGTGTTGTGCTCCCACACTTCCGTTACAGGGGTAGGGGGCGTTCAGTACTGCTTTTGTCCAGTTCGATCCCTGGAGGTTGGTCAGCATCAGTGAACTGACTGACTATACTCCCCGAGGAAGGTAGGTCTCTCGTGGGCTGTTATAGCCTCTGGGTTTGTGTTCAGTTGTTCACTGAGGTGTGTTTTTTTTTGCGTTCGTCAGCTTCACTTTCGAGTACTGACGTTCTGCGATGCTGTCCTTAACGGTTTCAACCGACCCGTCTTGAAACACGGACCAAGGAGTCTAACATATGTGCGAGTATGCGGGCCGAACCCCTGTATGCACAATGAAAGTGAGAGTAGGGAGAGGTTTGTTTTTTTGGCATGCCTCGCACCTACGACCGACCACGAGCTTTGCGAGAGGTTTGAGTTGTAGCACATCTGTTAGGACCCGAAAGATGGTGAACTATGCCTGAGTAGGGTGAAGTCAGGCGAAAGCCTGATGGAGGCTCGTAGCGATACTGACGTGCAAATCGTTCGTCAAACTTGGGTATAGGGGCGAAAGACTAATCGAACCGTCTAGTAGCTGGTTTCTTCCGAAGTTTCTCTCAGGATAGCTGGAGTTCAATTAGTTTTATCAGGTAAAGCGAATGATTAGAGGCCTCGGGGGCGCGTTGCCCTCGACCTATTCTCAAACTTTAAATGGGTAAGATCCAGTGGTTACTTCACTGAACTGCTGGGGTTAATATGAACTCCAAGTGGGCCATTTTTGGTAAGCAGAACTGGCGATGAGGGATGCTCCTAACGCTTGGTTAAGGTGCCCAAATACTCGCTCATGAGATACCATAAAAGGTGTTGGTTCATTTTGACAGCAGGACGGTGGTCATGGAAGTCGAAATCCGCTAAGAAGTGTGTAACAACTTACCTGCCGAATGAACCAGCCCTGAAAATGGATGGCGCTGCAGCGGGTTACCGATACCAGGCCATTACCGCAAGTTTGTGAAGACACTCGACTTTGGGCGGTAATGAGTAGGAAGACGTGGGGATCGTAGCGAAGCATTCGGCGTGAGCCTGTGTGGAACGGTCTCT